ATTGGAGTCTTTGGGAAATAAAATTTACTATAACAAACACCTCCCCATAGATGGAAAATTCATATTTCAGGAATTAAAAGGACAAAATAAAACTCAATCTGAGACGAGAGTAGAGGTAATATATTCCAGACACCAAGTTTTATAACCAAGTGGAAGAAGTCAGCCATATGCTTTAAAAATATATTTATTAAGGAGTTGTTTGGTTAAGAACACTCAAAGGAAGGAAAACCTATGTGTAGTTGCACACCACAGGTACATGAAAGCTACAATAGACTCTTCATTAACATTCAGAAAATCCCTAAAGGAAAAGAATTGCAAATCAAAACATGATTAGTGACATTTATGACACATTATAACAACACCAATCACCCACGTACGAGAATCTATACTGACATAGAATACATCATATATCAGTGAGGAGACTAGGCTGTTTGGAGATATATATATAGATATATTTGAACAAGTGTTTTCTAGTGTACTAAACCTATAGTGGTAATAGTGAAAAACATAAATGTTTTTATTGTTTGAGCAGAGAAATGTTTTAGATTTAAGATGTTAAAGACACAGGAAATCTTTCAAATCATTCTTCCTCAAAGCTTTCTCTGTGGCTGGGGGAGAGAGAAACTATGGAAAGAATAGTTGTATACATTTTGGTGGAATTTTCTGAACACTTACACGAGGCATGCTTTTTGAGAGTTTTATTGGCTTCCCAGTTTTGGTTCGTAGTTCTTGAGCAAAGGTATATCCTGTGTCATAGCATAACATATTAGTTGGAATTCCAGCAAATATCCAGACAGTTGGGAGCGGAATAGGCATGGTGGCTTTTTTTTTTGTTTAAGGATAATGATAATTCTGTCAACGAAAGCTAGCCTCTAGCATACTGTAAGTTGAAGTTCAAAAGAAAAAATACCAAAACAAGCCTCATCCAAACTTTCCTCCTCACGAGCTTCAAACTCAGATTCTTATCAAGACTAACATGATTGCATTCATTTAATGTGAATAAATAAGTGATGTTAGCTTAAAGCAACATCTATCACTAGCACCTTGTTTTCTCCTGATTTTGACTAAAAGTTCATTCTCGATCTCTTGACCTCGTGATCCACCCGCCTCAGCCTCCCAAAGTGCTGGGATTACAGGCATGAGCCTGTTCATTCTCTAATTAAAAGTTCATTCTCTAGATCGAAAATATTTATGTGAATTCACAGAATTAGCATTGGTCACTAATCACCCAGTTAAGTTACAATTGTATATATTCTGGCCGGTGTTTTAATTTAAATTGCAAAAAAAATAGGCTAATCATTAGCTAATGAACTATATTAGACATGGTTTATCTGTTAATGACATAATCTTTATTCTTTAATGCCATTACTTACAAGAGATTCTGTGTTTGTGAAAGCAGGAAGTTCTATTCACTCACTGTGACAAGAAATTTCGACATGTAAATGTGTATGCCATGTTTTAAAGATATACATACTGCTTTCTAACAGACAAGAGAGATTTCAGGCACCAGACTTGTAAAAAAATCTCAGTTTTTTTAACACCAAAATTCAAGTATGTGGATAAATTAAAAAATAGCAAAAAAAAAAAACCAAAAAACCCCAAAATCAAAAAAAGCTAAAACTGTCAACGTTGAACTAAAAATTACAGAATGCTTGTACTGATATGAGATTCTTAATAAAAGTGTCAGCATGAAAAAGTGGAAATTCAAGTCAAATCTCATCACATCAACCTTCACTGCAGTAAAAAGTTGACTGTAAAATCATTTTCAAGGTGTGGCCAGGCTAGCGGTGTTTCTAAATCTCATTACAGTGAAACTTCTAATTTTGAATAATTATGGAAGTGAATATATAAAGCAATTACTTAAAAGTTCTTACTTATGGTCGGGTGTGGTGGCTCACACCTGTAATCCCAGCACTTTGGGAGGCTGATGCGAGCAAATCACGAGGTCAGGAGTTCGAGATCAGTCTGGCCATCATGGTGAAACCTCATCTCTACTAAAAACATAAAAAAAATTGCCAGGCGTGGTGGTGTGTGCCTGTAATCCTAGCTACTAGGAAGGCTGAGGCAGGAGAATTTCATAAACCCAAGAGGTGGAGGCTACAGTGAGCCAAGATCATGCCACTGCACTCCAGCCTGGGTGACAGTGAGAGACTCTGTCTCAAAAAAAAAAAAAAAAAGAAAAGAAAAAAAGGTCTTACTTATATAACAGTTACTCCCTGTAATGAAAATTATCCAACACTTGATTTTGTGCCACAGTGTAAGGTTTGGTAACAAACACCTCATTGCAAGATAACCAGGAAAATGGAAACGCAGAGTAAAAAAAGATCACTTTACTTTCCCTGCATTAATGAGGAATGTGTTGAGTGTAATTACCGCTAGCAGTTACATTAACTGTGTCTACAAAATTGAGCAGTTGATGGAGGAACAGCCCATCTAGAATTTATTTTGAGCCAAATACACAGCAACACAATGGAATGAACAGCCAGCCCCTTGATCCAATGTCAACCTGTTTACTTCACAATTTAAAGAATTTATCAGTTGCCTACTGCGACATACCACGCAAGTGACTGTGAGCCTCTCAAGGATAAATCATTGGCTTACTAATTGTTAGAGTTTAGAACGTATCAGGTAAGTATCAAATGCTTAGGAAATGATGGACTTTTGCAAACAATATTCCTCAGTGTAAGTTCGTCCTTTCCCTGAGTTTTAAATGATTTAAGGAGTATGATAAACTAAAGAAGCTACAAACAATAAAAAGGCAATGGTATAAGAAGACAAATTAAAGATCTCTTTCTCCAATATATTCTCTGAGTTTCCAGATTAATACCGGTGAAGGACAGTGGTGGTCCCTACTACGTTAACCACTCCCTGGAAGCGAGTTAGGCCAACACTAGACATGAACCCACAAGAGAGGAGGCTAAGCAATGAATTAAAAGTTGGGATTTTTTTCTCCAAAGAAATCAACTGTGTGATAGAGGTCAATGTTTTCTTGTTTGTTTCTTCTAAAGTAGGATGTATTTGTAGACAAAAATTTTCTAAGGCTTCAGGAAGCTGAACTTCCTCTTTAGGAATTAATGGGCCCTCTCCAGGACAATAATGCTCAATGCCCTAATTAGTATCCCATGGACTTAAATGGGTCAGTGTTGTTGTTGTTTTTTTAATATTGATGCACTCTTAAGAATTAACTAAACAATCAGCTTGCTAACGTTCTGTATTTAGATCACATTGATGCTGCACTTTCAGTGTCAAAATGGATCTCAGAAATATTTTTCTAGAGAAATAATTCTAATTATGTTTGTGTTTGGATGATTCCAAACTAAATAGTCAATCAATTATTTTATCACAATCATCTTTCTTTTTGGTGAAGGAAAAAACAGTCATGGCAGGAATTTCCCTAAATGACTCCATCCATTCCATAGTTGTGAACCAGTAACTTCATGAAGGAACTGCTTTTATGACTCGGTATTGCACAGGATTATGAAAAAAGTTACTTTTGGGTTAATACCTTTAGTATGCAAAGGGTTGACTAAATAGGAAGCAATGCCAACATAAAAGAAAATTATATACTTATAACCAAATGTACAATATTTAGTTGAAGATACCTACTCATTCATAATTACAATTAAGAGAGGGTCTGGAAATCCAGGTGATCACATCTATCAGATAAGCAATGGGATATAAGCAGCAAAACTAATTTGGAGACAGGACACAACATAGGTATTTTAAAATAAATGGCTATAAGATCTTGAAAAGTTTTTAATATCAATAAGCAGTAGCATTTAGAGGATCCTGAGTTTTTCACATGGGCCTGCCTTCATCACTCGAAAAATTTCTGTATTCATTAACTTTCTTGTAAACTCGCCGGAGTATGTTACAAATTATTCCCTTATTCACAAATCAAAGCCTTGTGATTGGCTTAATAACTTTTGTTAAGCCATATAGGGCAGTTTGTGATTACCTACAATTTTTATAAAGTTCCATTTCCTGAATATTAGCACATGTAACTCAATTTAAAAACGTATGGTACACATTTCATATCCATTCTCTCCTGAGCACACGGAACAGGACATTTAGGTATGATTTTTTAGTATTCTTCACTCTGAAAGTCTGCTGTGTGAACATCACTGTAAAAACATTTTAGGAAAAGGGTATTTATTTTTAAACATTTTCTATAAGGCGAATGATAATTTTGTATATACTCTAGAGCCACACTGTTCTTGGTGGTATCTTCGAGCTATTGGATACTTGCAATGTAACTAGTGCAACTGAAGAACTGAATTTTTAACTTTAATTAATTTGAAGTTTAAAAGTTCACAGTTGTTTCAGTTACTGAAAAACTTTTAAGTGTGTTTAGATAACTTAGGTTGTTGAATCTACATTTTACATGTAAATTTTATGAACTCTAAACACATCAAATATTACTGATGAAAACTTAGTGTCCAAATTGGGGGATTCCGTAAGTGTAAAAAGCGTGCCAGATTTCAAAGACTTAGTGTGAAAAAAATGTAAATTTATTTTTAATAATTTTTTCCCTTGCCTTATGTTATATTTCTCTTGGATGGCACTGCTCTAGAGCTTTATGAAAATTGCTGGTTTTTAAAAGTTATGTTTTAAATATTTTATTGTAATGTCATTCTTTTAACCAAATAATTTTGATCATTTGAAAAAGCAAAGCAAATTTGTCTTTACCCACCGTGAAGTGCCCTAATTGCTCACTCTGCGCTTCCTCCTGCTCTGAATTGTGAAGCCCTCAGCAGCACCCACAGCAGAATGAAAAATCATAGGCAGGGAATATGCAGAAGTAGTGTATGAGAGCACTAATAAGTGTGCAATCAAATCAACTGCTCACACCCTACAAATGATGTCTTTTTTCCCTCCCAGTTGTTTCAGGATCTACATGTTCCTAATTCCAAAATTAACCTTCAGCTTCCTCCCAAGTTCTGCTGTGTTATGGCTTCTGGTTTAGAATAAGCAGTGACTGTAATCAGCAATGTGCTAGGTCATGTATTAAAACTAGATTCTGTCCAGGCCCGAGAACTCTCATCCTTCAGAGTGGAGAGCTTTCTCTGGGAGAAGGGTTCGAATCCCAGAAGTCTGAACACCGCCACCCGGTACTTCTTGGACATGATGTTGTATAGAATAGGGTTGATGGCAGCGCTGAGGTAGAAGAGGACAAAGGACACGAGGTTGCAGTACTGGCTGATCTGAGCAATCTCCAAGGAGCCAGGCTCAAAGGATTTGGAAAATAAATATCGCCCTACGTGGAAGGGCAGCCAGCAGAGGATGAAAGCAAACACCACTACAGCTAAAAGGACAATGAGAGAAAGATAATCAGCTCAAGAAATGTCATAGCAAATCACATTCAATTTTTAAGACTTTTGTCTCATGAACTATGACCATTGACTTTTGTCTCATGAACTATGACCATTGACTTCAGAGAAACATTGTGTTCTCTTCTTCCTCATTCCTACATTTTAACAAAGATTCAGTCTGTCTGGACCAACCGTTCAACAATTTTTACGGAGCTTCCCAGTCATTTCTATTTAACAACTACCTGAGTGATTTTGTGTTGAGTTGACATATTGACTCAACTGACCAGACCATTTATTCACAATAGTCCAGCAGTTGTTATGTGTTAGACACACGCACAAAGTTGTTGTACCCAACCACAGCTGTGTATCCGAGTCTCCTGGGGTACTTTTGTACACAATGCAGATTCCTTGAATGTAGTATAGACTCGGTCAAATTTAATCTCCAAGAGGGAGATCAGGGTATATGCTTTTCCTTTTCTTTTTTTCTAAAGTTTCACAGAGGACTGAACATACAATCAGGATTAAGAATCACTGAGATGGGTGATTCTATGCCACCTGCAATAGATACAAGTAAGGCTGTTATTAAACCAATTCATATAAATTATCACCCATCCACGTCTCCATTTTGCCTGTGTAAGATAATTTTTAATGATGTCTAAGTTTTTAGGTTGTTTGAAATTCAGAAATCAGGGAAAAATAATAGCAAATAATTTTTTAGTCTTTGTAACACTTTAGTGATCCCCTTCAAATTGTCCAGGAAGAAGAAAGTTAACATTGGTGTTGAGACACCAATGAGGAAATTAATGGCTTGAAAATAAAATTGGAGGAAAGTATTAAACTTATCCTTAAAACTAAATTTATAGTAGCAACTTAACTGCCACAAACAATCTGAATCTCAGAGATGACAGCTTGGAGTCCTCTAACACTAGTGGGCTTAGAAGCTATGAGTCATATCATGAGAATCACTGGTCTAGAAAATAAAATCCTTGACATTCCTTGAATAAACTCTATCACTTTGATATGCAGGACCCAGGAAGTGTAAATTTGGAAATATGAAATCATCCTGGAATGGCTTCTAAGAAGCCTTAAAATACGTCAGTAAGCATGAAGTCTTGACTATAATATCTAAATAATAAAATATACAGACCTTGGTTTTGAAAATGCAAGTAGAATTAATATCTTGCTGGGATATAAACTCATGTTTTATTACTTACTTGTACCAAACACATATACTTTAAGACACCGAATTTGTGCAATAAACATTCTGCAAATCCAGTTATGACCTTGTGCCCAGATGTTACTGAAGGGTCATTTGGGGAAGCAGTAAATTCTGTTGGTTTCCACAAAGTCTCTTTTTCTCCTTTTGGAGCTTTGCTCATCCTAGTTTATCTTTACTTGATCCTACTCTATCCTACCTGAAGAGGCAGGTAATCATGAAAACAAACGAGACTACTGATTTGTCACTGACTTCCTTACAAAGCTGTATAAACAGCAACAGGTAAACAGAATTGATGCAATTATCTGAAAAAATGCAGAGCAGAAAACAAATCACAATATTGAAAGAAAAATGAACAATCTCTAATAGGTTTATCCAAACTGATCATGTCTGTGGTTGAATTTACCACTGAATACTTTCTAGATCCAAGCCTTGCTTTTCTTAATGTAACTTAGATATTCACAAATCCTGTTTGAGGCAGGAAGTCAGTCCTCACTTTTAACGCTTAAGACCACAATAGACTTTTATAAGATATCTCAATTTTAAAGTGGAGTTTCTGGGCTGATATAAAATTCATTTTAGGGAAACATAAATGTGGGACATTTTTGCATGAAAGAGAAAGGAGAGACAGGAAGAGACACAAAGAGATAGAGACAGTAAGAAAGAGTCAAGACACTGACAAAGGGGGAAGAGAGAGAGTGACAGAGACAGTGAGATTGAGAGACCAAAGACATCACTCAAGAAAGCAAGGGGAGAGAATAATTGAGACGCATGCAGAGAGACAGAGGCCCAGAGAAACTGAAAAAAGAGGTAGAGGCTCCGGGGGAAATAGAGATGGAGACTCAGAGAAAAGTGAGAAGGCACAGGGAGAAGAGGGGACCCGCGAGAGAAAGCTCGAGCGCGCTCTGAGACCCACCCAGCATTTTCACGGTTTGCTTGTGGTTCTGGTCCTTGAGCGAGGCGCCCACGGCAGCATCGCCGCGCCTCCTCCGCCACAGCTTCCTGCCGATGAGACTGTAGAGGACCGTGAGACAGAAGACAGGAAGGAAGAAGAAGACGCTGGACACCCACACCATGACCGTGAGCAGTCCAGAACGCACCGCGAACTCGGTGGGGCGGCACTCGTTGGTGTCCCAAGGGTCGGTCCCGTTCTCGTGCTCCACCCCGACTAGCACGAAGATGGGCCCAGCGCTGCAGAAGGCTACGGCCCAGATGACGAGGATGACCAGCTTCACCCGGCCCTTGGTGACCACCACCTTGGCCCGCAGCGGGAAGCAGATGGCGAAGTAGCGCTCGACGCTCAGGGCTGTGATGGTGAGCACCGTGGCGTAGGTGCAGCTTTCGCTGACGAATTGGAATAGTTTGCAGAGCAGGTCGCCGAAGTTCCAGGGCCGGTACTGCCAAAGGCGAACGAGGTCCAGGGGCATGCAGAGGAAGATGAGCAGGTCGGAGAAGGCCATGCTGGACAGGTAGAGGTTGGTGGTGGTGCGCAGCTCGCGGAAGCGCGACACCACCAGCATGGTAAGCAGGTTACCAGCGATGCCCACCACGAAGAGCGCCACGCAGGTGGCTGTGACGCCCGCCAGCAGCGGCGCAGTGAAGGGCGGCAGCAGCTCGTCGCCCAGCGAGTCGTTGCCGGGGGACGCATCCCAGTCCAGGTCCTCCAGTGTGAGGTTGAGCCCCGGCTCTTCGCTGGGCGTTGCGTTCCACATGCTGCCGGCTCAGCCGAACAGGCTCTGGGATGTGACAGCGCTGGGAGACTGGACCGAGCTGGCTCCCGAGGAGGTCCCCTTAGGCGCGGGAGGGTGCGAGGGGAGAGCGGGTGCAGACGCGTGGGGAGGATGCTTGGAGAAGAAAGAGAGGGAGGTGAGAGGCAGAAACCGAGGGAGGAGGTGAGATCGGGACGTGGAAGAGGGAGAGAGACTAATGGTCAGTGGGCGAGTGACCCACTGCTTTCTCTGGCACCTCCCCTTTCCCCCACCGTCTCCCCCAAAGTTTCTCTCTCCCAACACAGCCTCCGGCCGGCGCCCACACACATACCTGTCACCAGCCCTGCCTTGCGTTCGCGTTCTCGCTCCAGCTCCATCTCGCACTTCCCAAAGCGTCCCAGCGTGTGGGGACCGCAGAGACCAGGCGCCGCGAAGCGGGAACGTGAGGAGCTCTCTCCGGAGCCCTGGGCGACGCTGGGCTAGTGTGCCCCGGAAGAACAGGTCACACCCTGAGGTTGGGGGTGGGGAGAACACCTTTAGCAGCGGGGACCTGGTTTCTTCCTCCACAAGGGCTAGAGCTGGCTATGGCCCTGGTGGGAAGAAAAAGCGAGTTTGCCCAACTAGACTTGAGAAGAAGGATAGAGAGAGAGAGAAAAAGAAGGACCTTGTGTTTGTATCCATACCGATGAGCACCGAAAAATAATCTCACGCAGTTCTAGAACTTAGGTTCAGCGATGTGACTACTTGTCCAAGGTTACACAGCAAGCTGGGGTCTCGGGGACCAGTGTTGGATCTCCCACTGGGTTTGGACTTCTGAGCGCATAGGGGCAAGATGTGTGAATAAACCCTGTCCTGAATCCCAGTTTTTTGTATCACTTGGTGGTGATAGAGGGTCTGCTGTAGGGGAGATTACTTTTGCTTGATGCAAACCTGGTGGCAGGGTGCCGAGGGTGATCGGGGAGGGAAAAGGAGAAAGGAAAAAGGAAGAGTTGGAGGTGTGTGGAGCCAGCAAGAAGAGGCTGTGAGGGTGGCACGTGGATAGTGTGCAGGAAACCTTTTTTGAGCATCATGGAGAGAGATCAGCCATTTGGTAGTCGTGTTCCCTTGGGCAAGGTCTTCAACCTCCTGGGCGTTACTTCTTTTTCTTTGAATTGCAATGATTTATGCGGACCACTGGGGGTGAATGTCAAGTGTCAGGGACCACTGGAGGCACTCAATAAATAGTAGACGCGTTGCTGTTGAGAAGTAGAAGCTGTGCTGGTGGGAATAGGTCAAAGGCCATCCCTACACTAGCCAGGTGGCCCTCAGGAGTCTGTGCTCAGAGCCAGAAATCCACACCCGAGGACGTGAGACTGCCGGTTGCCAGCGAATTCACAAACCCGACAGGCCCCTCCAGGCCCACCGACTTCGGGACCGCTCGGAGAACAAGTTCAGCACTGCGGCCAGCGCCACATCCCTCCTGCACAGCGCAGCTCGAGGGGCGGCTGCGCGTTACTCTCACCTGTTTCAACTCACGCTTCTCACGCCTCAGTCCTACCCCGCGGAGGAGCAGGGCAGACTCCGCCGAAGCACAGGCCGGCTTTAACCACTGCCTTGACCACACACATAGGCGTTCACCCGATGAGATGCCACCTACTGTGTATGAGAGTTTTCCCCTCAGTTGAACGCGTTCGTACGTGCCTTTCACAGACAGTTTGCACCACCTCTACTACCTAAATTGTTAATGCCTAAAAGTCCACAAAGACCTAAGACTGAGTGTGTGCATGTGTGCGTGAAAGACTCCATAGAGTAAAAGACTACACGAGAGAAGTTTCACACAGGAAATTTAACATAGAGGCTTGGTTGCCACTGGTGTGTTAGACACTGGATCAAATTGAGGTTTTGTTGTGCGTGGTTTTTTTTTTTTTTCTTTTTGGACAGAGTCTCTGTCTGTCGCCCAGGCTAGAGTGCAGTGGCCTGATCTGTGCTCACTGCAACCTCCGCCTCCCTGGTTCAAGCGATTCTCCTGCCTTAGCCTTCCTAGTAGCTGGGACTACAGGTGCCCACCACCATGCCCCGCTAATCTTTTTTTTTTTTTTTTTTAGTAGAGACAGGGTTTCACCGTGTTAGCCAGGATGGTCTCAATCTCCTGACATCGTGATCTGCCCGCCTTGGCCTCCCAAATTGCTGGGATTACAGGCATGAGCCACCACGCTTGGCCCCAAATTAAGTTTTTAAAGCATTAATTTCAGACTACTATTTTTAAAATGTTACAACTAAGTCAAATCACCAATTACTAACAAGTTTTTATTTAATCAATAACTTTGACTTTGTTACTCTCTGCCCTATATTACCAGTAGGTTTATGTATGTGGAAAGAAAGGGAGAGAAAACAGACTGGAATAAATCAGAATACTATGGGAAGTTATTGTCTAAGGCTGAGAATCAGGAAAATACTGTGGGATATTTTCTGGTCTACTCAGTGCTAAAGCTATGGTTGATAGGTAAAAAAAACTTGAAAAAAAAAAAACACCAAAAGACTATTGTGATAGAATTTTTTTCATGTTAGCTAAAATAGCAAAGAGTGTAATGGCACTCAGCCAGTTTCTAAAATATGGACAAATCTATATTGCGTGACCAAGAAGAAACAGAGGATGCTATTGAAATCAATCTATTTATTCATAACATGTAAAATATTATGTAATATTGTATATAAATCTATCTTTAATATGTGGTAGGTACTAGGGACAACAACATAAATAAAACCCAGGCAGGTGCTATATTTATAAATTTACAGTCTAGAGAGAAAATACAGTTAAATAAGTAATGTTAATACAGTATTGATAGGTGCATCTAAAGAGGCATGTACAATGAGCTCTGATGGAATACAGAGAATGAGTGAATCACATGGAGGCTTTAGGGAAAGCTTCTCAGAGGAAGCAGCATCTGAGCTGGATCTTGAAGAACTCAGTTCTGTCAGAAACAGTAAAACTTGCTCAACCGTTCAGACAAGGAACACAAAAGCATTTTGGAGTGACAATCGGTATGCCTTGTCCTATGAATTGTGTAAGAAGTATTATTATTATTGACTTGTGGATTTTTATGTAGTCACTGCATTCCAATCAATTATGATGACTTTTTTCTTTTAGACACTCAAATTGTCTCATCTTTGACCAATGAGATCCACTTCAAGTTGGCTCCAGGGTTCTTTTGACATGACTCACTTAGATTTTTAGAGCTTCCACACTGTGTTTTGTGGCACAATGAGATGCTTTAAGCTCACCTTGCAAATTCTCTACATGAGACCCAGGAGCAGCCATTATTCCAAGAATCCCTGGTACCTGTACTGGGAAACAGCATTTAGAGACCTACATTTGGGCAGTGGGGTTGGTTATTGGCCTGGGAGCATTATGGACTAGGTTCTGTAGACAGAGATAGGAGATATATATATATCTCATATACATATATATGAATATATTCTATATACAGCATATATTCTATACATCTATACCTTATATGTATATCCTATAGATATAAAGTTACATAGTTTCATTATGAAGATATACCTAGTTTCATCCAATGTTTGTTGATGAATATTTGTGTTTTTAATAAGTTTTTATTGCTGGAATATATATTGCTATACATTCTATATATGTGAGTGTGTGTATATATATATGGGTTATATACATATATATGTATATATACACATATATAGATGTGTGTGTATAATCATTATCATCTCACAATATCTAGATATCTATAAATCATGAGACGATAATTGTAAATGTGTCTGTGTGTGTGACGTATGAAAAGGTAGTATACATACATACTAGGCTATCTTCTATGTTGCCTTTTCAACTTAACATTCTATCCTGGGAGTCTCTCATAGCAATATTCTTCTTTATGTTTTTTTAAATAATCCATCTAGGGAAAGATCCACAGTTTCCACTATGAAGATGTACCTTAGTTTCATTTAACCAATGTTTATTGATGAATATTTGTGTTTTTTTGTTTTTTTTTTTTTTGAGACGGAGTTTCGCTCTTGTTACCCAGGCTGCAATGGCGCGATCTCTGCTCACCGCAACCTCCACCTCCTGGGTTCAGGCAATTCTCCTGCCTCAGCCTCCTAAGTAGCTGGGATTACAGGCACGCGCCACCATGCCCAGCTAATTTTTTGTATTTTTAGTAGAGATGGGGTTTCACCATGTTGACCAGGATGGTCTTGATATCTTGACCTCCTGATCCACCTGCCTCGGCCTCCCAAAGTCGTGTGTTTTAAATAATCTTTTGTTGCTATAAATGATAATGTATATATAATTTTATATGTGTACAGCTGTATTACAGAATAATATTAAAAATTTAATAAAAGAAGAAATGAGGCTGGGCATAGTAGCTCATGCCTGTAATTCCCAGCACTTTGAGAGGCCAAGGAGGGCAGATCACAAGAAAGTTCAAGACCAGCCTGACCAACATCGTGAAACTTCATCTCTTCTAAAAATACAAACATTAACCGGGCATGGTGGTGAGTGCCTGTAATCCCAGCTACTCAGGAGGTTGAGGCAGGAGAATCACTTGAACCTGGGAGGCAGAGGTTGCAGTGAGCCGAGATCACACCACTGCACTCCAGCCTGGGCAAAAGAGCAAGATTCTATCTCAAGAAGAGAAGAAGAAGGAATGATACATGGCAGTATACAAATTACTGAATGGCACAATACAGCATGGAGAAACAGTGTATAGTACCCGAATGTCAAGTCTGGGCTCTGAAAACATACATGGAAAATTTGTATAAGGTAGCAGGTATAACATAATATTCTTCGAAGTAGGAATGTTAAATCAAAAGTGTCAAAGTCTTGTAATTTTGTTATATACTGCCACATTCCTCTCCATGGGATTGTATCACCTTATATCTCCACTAGCAATGGATAAGAGTGCCTGATTTCTCTCAACCTCTACCATAGTTTTGTCAACTTTTAAATTTTTGCCAATTTGATGATTAGGTGAGAAATAGTTTCTCATTGTGTTTTT